GCCAAGAAAGGTTCGTGGTAAAATGCCTAATTCCCATTTTTCTTAACCAAGTGGTCAAGTGACTAGCCAAGAATTCTCCTCCTCTATCTGTGACCAAAGTTCCCACTTTGTAGTCAAACTGTCTCTCTATCATGTTTAGCCATTCCTTGAATCTCTCTCCTGCTTCACTCTTTTCTTTTAAAAGAATTACATAGGAAAACCTTGTGAAGCGATCCACAATCACCATGAAGTATTTATTTCCTCCCTGGGTCTTGGGAGTAATTGGCCCAGCTAAATCACAGTGTACATGCTGACAAGGTCTCTGGGCTCTAAGTTTTGTTCTTTTTGTCACAGGATAAGCCTTCAGCTTAATCCTGCTGCAAACTGAACACTCCAAGTGGTTTGAGCATGGTGACATTTTAAACTCAGGACAAACCTGCTTCAATTTCAAAAGATTTGGAAAACCAACATAACCCAACACTCTGTGAAAATAATGAATGTAGTCTGCATGCAAAGGCTGATTTTATGCGATTGCACAGCCCTCTCTGTCTATCATGTAATACAGTTTGTCTTTCTTAATGGCTTTAGCACAAAACTCATCATCTTTAAAAATTAAACACTCATCCCCCTCAAAACTCAATTTGTACCCATCTGTGGTCAAAGCTGACACACTAACTAAACAGTTTTGCAAACTAGGTACATACAAGACATTTTCAAAATTTTTACCAAAACTAGGAATGCAAACAGTTCCCATTTCTTGAATTTTTGGACCTGTCCCATCTGCTAAGGCAACAGAAGAAACATTTGCTGGTATTCTGCTCTGGAACAGTTCAATCTTGTTTGCCATGTGCGTGGAAGCTCCACTGTATAATAGCCAGGTGGTGGGTGGCTGAACTTGAGTCACACCTTCACAGCTTTGAATTGTGGCAACAAATCCTTGGTTAGCACTGTGTCTCTTTTGGCCACCAGGGGAACGTGGCGGCGGCTGCTGCTGCTGCTGCTGCTGTTGCTGTTGCTGTTGCTGCCCCCTCCTGGTATCTGCAGCCAACTTTCTGCAATCTTTTCTTAAATGTCCGAACTTTTTATAATAAAAACACATCTTGCCCTTTGATACTGTTGCTTTCTCAGTTTGCATTTCTTTTGAAGCTCCCTCTGTGGCATATTGAGGCTTGGCAGTTGCAGATCCCTGTTTTCGTTGCTCTGCCTCAAATTTCCTCCTCTGTGCCTCCTCCAAAATTTTCCCACAGACCATTTCCATTGTCAAATGAGCTCCTGGAGGGGCCTGCAAGCCCAGCAGGATATTATCATAAGATTTGTTTAGAGATCC